AACCTACTCAAAAAAAATTTATATCCGTTTAACAGGCATACAATAGAGTAGGCTCAGTGTATTTGTCACAGGACATCTGTTTACAGCAAGCCAGCAAATTGTGGATCAGCCATTTCTCAGTGGCTCTGAGATGCACTACATGCTTTCCCTGTTTGTACACTTTTCTTTAGTCACCTCACTGGGTGATAGCAAGATTCTGAGCTTCAGGCACTTTTGCTTTCATCAGGTACCCAATTCTTCACTCTAATGTAATGTAGTGTTGCTGTCTTTGCTATATCAAGACTTATCAGCCAGAACATGGCATAGCTAGGATCCCTGCTTAACTACAGCTCTACGAAAATGGGCTTCACTGTGCAACCAAAAATCTTAATCCTAAAAACGGCATATGCCAAGTGCTGTGATACCAACCAAAGACATGTCAAAAATTAATAGCTGATAGAATAGGAGGGGATTCTCCTTTGCAGGCATTCCAGTAACTTGCATATCATTAGACAAATTAAAAGTACAAAGAGTACATACAAAAAGCAAACTGTGCTATCTAGGAATTTTTAAATTTTCAATTTCTTAAATTTTAGTTTTCTGTAGTAGCCGCGATTTAAGTTATGCTTTGACAATGCTTAACTGGCACAGCAGGGACTTTATTCTGGTTTTAGTCATGTGACACACAAAACCACAAGAGAAGTAGAGGAACAATTTCACTGTATTACAAGTAGGAGTCTCTCTTCATGCATAAATCTTTGCTGGCACCTGGAATTACCCATCTCTCTCCCAATACCACAGGCACAGACAGTAATTAGTAAGCTAGCCCAAAGGGATCCCAGGAACCCTTCATTACACAACATGACATTCTACAACTACCTTAGAGTGTCACACCTTAACTCATATACTCATTCTTCACCAGGGATGGCTAAGACAGCATCGAAGTCAACAATACACAAAAAAACCCCAACCCCAAATCCCCCCACAAAAAACACACACACAAACCCAAACCCCCCTCCCCCCAAAACCTGAAATTACCTTTTTGCAATTGTCAAACTGGGTTTCTAGCACCATTACTCACCATGTTTGACAACAGTTTAGGAAAATGCAATATATTGTGTTGCTTGTGTTAAAAAACTCAAGATCTCTTTCCCCCGTACCCAACTACCCTGATGCTTTGGAGAAGGAACATGACACTTATATAAAAGCAGATGGCATTCATAAATACATCTAACACTTTTTGCCAATCCTCTGAAAACATGTAAGAGTTTGGTAATAGTAGTTCTTTTAAATCCAGGAATAAACATTGAGCTTCACAAGGGTAAGCCAATCTGCATGACTTCTTGAGCGCAGGTGAGGAGCAGCACACGCTGGTCAGCATGCCTGAGCACTGACAGCATCTCTGGCTCTTCATCCAGCAAGCAACCTGGCAGGACACTCACAGCTTCATGTTGAAAGGTGGCTACTTAGCTGCAGCTCAACACTAAATGCTGCTCTCCAGCCCTCAGGAGGGCCAAAGAGCACTGCATGCATCTCAGAAGAAGTTTCTGTGCTCTGTACTATAAAACAGCACTGCCAACAATTAAAAAAAAATAACAAAAAAACCACACACACCAAAAAAAAACCAAACAAGGGACGACGTACACAGGTACAAAAACAGCAGTTGCATGAAAGAACCCAGAGGACTGGATTCAGTAGCAGAGACGGGGAAGAGGACACAGACAGAGATTGTGCATTGCAGCAGAATAGGAAAGGATTGCACAGAAGGATGCAGGGAGCTAAATGCTTTCAAGAAATACTGGAGAGAAGATGGCACAGTGTGAAGAGTGGCACCAGAACAGTAGGAAGGCAAAACTGGAACCAAATGTTAGCCTTTAACAGCTCTCATGTCTGAGTCAGGTGATGCTGGATCAGATGAACAGCTAAAACTCCCTGGAGACACTGTCCTCACTGAGCACGTGAGAAAACTCACAGCAACTGATGCTGACTAGCCCTACCCCAATTAAATGTGGCACTTAATTTAATTTAAGGAGGCTCAGAAGTAGGCTAACCAAAGGCAGAGTCTTAGGAACAGGAAAATGGGTAAGAAGGTGGGGTGTGCTTCTAGTGCCCTTGCTCCATCCACATCTTCTCCAGGGCCCCCTTCTGGTCCTAGCTCAGTGAGGTCTAAGATGGCTGCCAGCTCCTCCCCTTCAGCAGGTTTCACAGAGCTTTCCCTCTGAAACAGGAGATGGAGGTGGCCCTCGGTCTCCCACCACTGTTTTTGACACACTAGCCATCACATCAGCCAAGAACTGCCCAGATGCTGCCATCCCTTGATCACGCCAAGGTATCACCCAGTCAGGCACAAGAACTGAAAGCAAAGTTTGTGTCTACTTCTTCCCAAGACTCAGGTTGGACCAGTGCCCAAAGGAAAAAAATGGAGATAGAGGAGTCATTTTGGGAAAGAAAACTGAGTCAGGAGAAAAATTTGTTCTTTCTACCCCCACCCAAGACATGCACCTCCAAAGAATGGCAGGCATTCCCAACTTTTCCTAAGCCCTGACACAGGAGGTATGTCATTCAACCTCGTATCAAAGGTGCAAAGGACAACCGTAAAAACCACACAACTCTTTAGAAAGACATCTCTTCAGCAAGGTTACTGCCTACCCTCACATTTTGACATCCTGATTCCTCAACGTACCGCAGCTTTGCTGAAGCCTCTTCACACGGGACAATAAAAATACAGTATTTAGGAAACGCTTTGTATTCAAGAAAAGAACAAAAGGTAGCCCAGAACTGGAAATGGAAGCACAAAGACCCACCACACAGCAAACTTCACATTCTTGTGTCAAGACCTTTCATGCTATAAAACAATGTGAAACGTGAAAACCTAGCAGCTAGGATTTTAAATATGCTAGTCTGCAATTAAATAAGGCTTCTTAGCTAAAACAAAGGAAAAATCATTATCAGGGTGATCCCTTCGGTTATAGGAATCCTTGAATTCTAACTTGACATTAAAAAAAATTAAAATGTACCCCCTCCATAAGCAGCAAATTTCAGAGACATCTTCACTATGTACAGTATGTCCAATATATTAGTAAAGGCAAAATACTTCATAAACATTGATTTAGGCTGCCCGGGAAATGAAACTCAGGCAGCATTTAAAAAATCTGTAATGTCTTATTAGAGCTGTTATTACTTAATCTAGAGCAATGCAATTTGATGAAAGGTGATTTGATTTACACGCCTTTGGATATGAGTAACTTAATATCTTGTTTACTGACCAGGAGAATTGATAAAAATTCACCTGGGATTTTACTTAGCACCCCTTTAAAAAACCCCAACCCGACAGCTAATATTAGGCAACAATCTTTAATGTCTCTATTGTGTGAAAATTTCCCAACTCAAACCATTTAAACACAATTTAAAGAAGTTAATTAGCACGGTGCCACTCTTAGCTGCGTACCCAACCACAGAACCTCCAAATCTACTAGATGTCAGGGTTCAAACATTAGGTGATATGTAAACTGACCTGGCTGAGACACTGCAGTGGCTGTAAACTGAGTAGCCCAAGGGGGATTCTTCTGTCCTCCAAACTGAGCCATGGCGAAAGGCAGAATCTCCCGGGTGTCTATCTTCTATAACTGTAATCTATTAAAATAAAGCGCAGCTACAATCTTTGAAACATATACCATCAGGTTATTTTAATTCTGGGTCAAAAGGAAAAAAAAAAAAAAAAAAAAAGCGCGTTGAAAAATTGGAAGATTATCTTTACACCCCTAAACCTGGTGGGCCACACGCACGGGAAGCGGGAAACACAAAAAAGTTGCAAGGCAAGTTATTACATTTTCCTGAGGCACCACCTTCTCCCTCCCCATCCCCGTCTTAACAATGGGGCCGGCGCTAGTCAACGCGCAAAAAAATCTATTCGGGTGTCCAGCGAAGCCTAAGGGAGAGACCACTCTGCAGAAGGAAGAACTTGTAGTTGATTATTATCATCATCCTCAGCGTTATTATTGCTTTTTTTCCCGGGCTGCGGGCAGGCCGCGGGCCCCTCTCCCCGCACAAGGGCACGCTGCTCCCCGCGCCAAAGCGGCCGGGCCGCCCGCCGCCTCCCCCCCTCGCCTTCCCCGCAACGGTTAGCTTAAAAAACGACTTAAACTCCCGCCTCCGCGCCGCTAAAACCCCTCCTTTTTTAATTTAATTTTTTGTGGTTTGGGTTTTGGTTTGGGTTGGGTTTTTTTTGTGCGCAGCCTCAAATACCCGCCGCCAAAGCGGGCCCGGCCCTCAAGGAGCGAGGAAGGGAAGCGAGGAGGAGGAGGCGGCGGGAGGGTGCCGGGCCTTCCTCCCGGCCCGGTGGCGGCAGGCCGGGCGGGCGGGAAGCAAGCGCCTCCCCGCCCCCCCACCGCGGCCAGGCCGCCGCCGCCCGCTCGCCCCTCCTCACCCTCATCCTCCTCCCGCCGCCCCCGGCCAACAATACAGGCCCGCCCTGCTCCCCCTCACCCTTCACCCCAAGCTCCCCCAGGGTTTCCGCGCCCCCGCCAGGGCCCTTTCCGCCGCCGGTACCTGAGCGGCGCCTCGCCGGAGCCATCGCCGGCCCCTCCGAGCCTCCCGCACCCAGCGCCGCCCGCACCGCGCAGGCGCCGCTACCCCCCCGCCCTCCGGCGGCGGCGCGCGCTGATGACGTAGCGCCGGCCCGGCCGCGTGCGGAGAGGCCGTGAGGGGAGAGGAGGGGCCCCGGCGCCATCTTGGCGGCGGCAGGGAGGGGCGGGTCGGCCGCCATCTTGCAGCTTGGCCTGGCCGCCTCGGTACCTTGAGGCCGCCGCTGTTCGAGCCTCTCCCCCGCCACACAAACGGCTCGGTCTGGGCAGTTGTCAGGCACTTCTCATGGCTGCCTTGCCGCTGTCGGAAACAGCCCTCAGCCTGAGGTGAAGCCACGCGTGAGGCCCTGAGGGCTGATTTTACGCACACCAGCGTTCAGGCTGATGTGGGAGTGGGAGGGCGGCGGGATCACCTGAGGTGAAGGGAGAGTAGACTCAGCAGAGGGACTCATCAAAGCACTAAAGTTGCTTTGAACCAGAAATTGCAGCCAGATGCGATTGCAGTAAGTAGTTCAGCAGTTCATGGGCAACAGTAATTTCACTCTTCTGATGATGTTGTGAAGAGCCTTCCATCCTTTAAGTAGTTTTTTTACACAAGTTTGCTTTGAGGTGAAATACGCTCATGGGATAGTACTTAACGCTTGAGAGTAAAGTTAACAATACACACTGTGAAAACAGGACTTTGGAGTGTTTTATTGTCATTAAAACCAAAGTTAAACAATGGAATAAAATCCACTTGAGAGGCAACAACATTGAGCTCTTGCTTGCAGTGGGGTGGCTGGATTATGTTGTGGGAGAGCAATCAGAGAAAGAAGATGGAGACCACCAAGTGAAGTTAAATTTGTCAGCATTTGGTACTCAGTAGTACACAAAGATGGGTAGTTTTGCCTTAGCCCTTTAAAAAATAGTGGAAATTACATGAGGGTTTAGGTGTTTTACACTGAGAAACATAGTTCTCTAAAGTTTACACATTTTAAACCTTACTCATGTATAACTCCATCCAGTTTAGTAGGTTGACTGAAGCAGAATCTGTACTTTTTAACCTGGAAATAAGATCAGGGGCTAAAAAGGTGAGAGGGCTCTCTCCCACACTATACATGAAAAGGAAAGCGGCAAAATTGTATTAAAGAAGAAAAGCAATTGTCAATGAATGTCCAAATGTTATGATGTGGCTCTGTTCTTCAGTCATTTGTCCCAGGGGCTTCTTATCAGAGGATGCATAACTCTTAGTGATGCTCTCAAAGAAGGCCTTAGAAGCTCATAGGAACCCACAAGCCTGATTTCCTGTACCTCGAGTAGAACATTACTTCGTTTACTTTCTCCATTCCATGTACATATTGCTACTATTAGCTGGCAATTTTTGCCGCTGCCATTTATAGCACACTAATGACTCCTTTTGAATTCTTTAGGTCTCCGTATCCTCTTTTGAAGATAAACCATGCGGTTTTGATGAAGAACAGATGAAATGGAAATCGCAGTGAAAAAAATGTGAGCACTTGTAGTCTTGTTTCTTAAAATAACTAACTCTAGGCGCCCTAAGTGTCTTTTAAGTACCTTTGGACAATTTAATCCAAAATTGATGTAGGGGCAGCAGTCTGAAAGATACGACATTTCTACAAGTTACCTTATAATAATCAGGCATGTTGAGAAAAAGATACAAATTAGAAAGCAAAAATTGTAAAGCATATCCTACTTTCAGCCTTCTTGGTGGTTACAGGAGTTAAGAACAAACTGGGGATACCATGGAGAGAAATTACAATTTTTAGAGCTTATAATCACAACATCATATATATTTTGGTACAATCAGTACATTTAACAAACACGAATGGAAGAGCGCAAAGAAAAAACTTTGATATCAGGAAATGCTACATAGTAGTAAAATGTCATAGTGCAAATAGTTTAGACTTTGGATCTCTGGCCTTCAGTGCTCAGCTGCCTGCCATTCCTTGGGAAAGCCATGAAGTTGATCCATGGCATCTTCCACAGTGGTGTACATGCTCTCTACTAACCAGAGCTTTTCTGGAAATCCCCTTTAAACAGAGGCTCATTTGGTGCTTGGTGAAATACTGTTACTTAAAAAGGTTTAAAACTAACCACTTTCTGTTTGGTTTTTTTTTTTTAAGGATCTGTGACTAAAAGACCTCTCATAAACATCACCTCTTTTATATACAATTATAGAAATAAATACATTTTCCACTGCCACAACAGCACCCAGCATTACTGATTCAGCACTGTAGAAGCAACAGCTGATACACTAAAGAGTATAAACACTGAAGCAGCAAGTAGAAGCACGCTGATCTTGATACTGGGTGCAGGTGGAGTGCAGATTGAGGAGAGGGTATCTCAGGTCTCCAGTGAACACACTGTGTGTTAAAAAAGCTAGCATATGACTTGGTTTGAGATAGAGGAGTTTCTTCATTAGCTCAAGGAATATGAGATCGTAGTGTTTCTGCATATGGTATAAAATGGGGACCTGCACTCATCTTGGTCTGTATCAACGTTTGGCACATTATGTTTGTGGTTTGGTGCAGTATCTCACCTTCAGCTGAGAAAGAAAAAGAAAACCACCCTTGTAATTCATTTCAGAGATACAAATACATTTCCCCTTAGTGAAGCTGAATAATTATTCCAACTTCAGATCCCTGAGATGTTGAAGAAGCAGAAAAATAATCGCATTTGTCATTACACAAATCTTTACTGTCTTCAAAGTGCCCCTAAGTGGTCTCATAACAGTGACTGTATCATAAACTTACCACAAAAGAAAAGTGTGTGCTGCAGGGGTTTTGCAGTGGAAAAGGAGTGACTGGGTATCAGCTGCAAGTAACATTTGTCATTCCCTTTAGAAGTGCCTTTAAGTTATAGCTCACAGCCTTCAAAAAGTAGACATCCTGTTTTTGAAATAAAGTGAAACAAGAAACTGTTATAATGCTTATCCTTCTCTTGAAAATGAGAACATGGGTAAGGCTGGTTGTAAGGAGCCCAGTGCTTCAGAGGCAGGTTCCCCTGTTCATACACCAGCACAGATAGCTTCACTATTACTCTTTACTAAATCATTATTTACACTAGAGTTCAACACCATAATGAATACATTATGACTGAACACCTGTTATATAATGTCCTTTAGACAAAAATAAAGCACTTATCAAACACTTGTACACTGTACAGTGTACACAAATCACTGTACAGCAGCCACAGAGGTACTGTGGTGTTTCCTGCATCAGGTAAACCAGAACTAATCTGAGATATCATAGGTGTCTGCCGTGAAAGAAAAATGGAGAAGAAAATGTGGAAGAGTCTTATTTTTTGGTTGAAGAAAACCAGAAACAGATTTAGCTGTATTCATACTATACATTTATGGGAATTAATTGGAGAAGAAATTATAGAATGGTAATCTTCTAATAAACATAGTTTTGACAATCTGTACATTTGAGAAGACACAAAATTAGCATTTCATACCAAACATGAAGCGACTGCACAGAAAACTAGTAATGTTTAGTAAGTGGTCATATTTTATCTGTCCAGCTAAATGTAAGAGCTTTGCCAGTTACAGGGAGATGGTTATTTTACTCTGTTTTGATGATATAACAACTCCAGTTATGAAAGATCATTGTATTATGTTTTTTTCATATTGTTGTTGGAAATACATTTCTATGCATTCTGCTCAATTCCTGAAATAACTTTCAGATCTACACATTTTATTAGTGGAACCTGCTCTTCGTAGCTGCTGATGGGTTTAAGAGTCACAGGGTGAGGAAGGAAAGGCTTTTATGCTCTACTATATTGGGACAAAATTAGATGGGTTGAGAATGAACTTCTGACAAAGTTTGAATTATAAGTTTAAATATAAATGCCCTGGCATAAATAAAACAAGTATTAATTATTTTTCTGCTAATATGCACCAGGAGCACAGGGAAAGTTTTTAATCTTCATATAAGAAAGAAATCTTTTCCAGTGAGAACAATCAATCACTAGAAGAACCTCCCCAGGGATGTAGTGGAGTCCCTGTCACTGGAAGTTTTCCTTATGCAACTGGACAGGGTGCCAGATCATCTCATCCAGGGTTCCTTTTCCACAAAAGGTGGAACCAGATGATCTGTTGAAGTCCCCTCCAGCCTGGGGTGTTCTGTGATCTGTGAACATCACGTACAATGTATTTAACTGGTAAAGTTCTCTGTTTCAGGAAATTGGTAGCGATTCAGTAAAATTACTTAGATCATGCTTTCAGGAAGCTCAGAGAAGTGAATCTTACCTCTTGGTTATTACTTATTGATCTTGCAAAAGTAGTTGGAGATCCTACCCTGATAAAGGTCCCATTTCTATAATTTTTGTGTAAGAACTTCTACTGAACAGGTTGTTTGTAGATTTTAATCGGAACATTTACCATCCATGGTTAAACAATTGCAGTCTTACAGTACAGAGAAGGGGCAGTACAGTCTGTGCCTCCCCTAAATACTGAATTTCTGTCACATCTCTAGTCTGTTGTATATGTTTGTGAGACTGGATGCGCTTGTAACTATTCCTTTAAATTTAAATTAAGGATAAATGTATTTGACAAGAAGCTGGTCCTTCCTAAGTTCAAGTTTGACCCTGTGTCCATGAGGGCTGAATCCTAGAATATTTTCCAGAGCATCACACAGCTGTCTGCATTGGTGTTATGTGTGGAGGTTTGACCCAGTGAAATTATTAGGGGATTGGTCTTGATACAGCTCATTTTACTACCTCTTATATTCACATCGCTCACATCTCAAAAGAATAGGGGTTTCTGCATTTTGCTGTAGTTTATGCAGATTAAATACAGCATTTAATCTCACTGTGATCTCAGGAAGCAGTACAGTATTTATTTACACTGAATTTAGAAGGTAAATGGAATGAATGTCTTTCCCTGGCATAGAAAGCCCCCTCCTTATTATGGCTGGTAGGTGTTCATAGCTCTAACTTAGCCTTATTTGAATATCTGGCACTACTCCTGGTCCTAAGAGATGGCAGTGCAGGGGGGCTAAGGCATACCTTCACCGAGGAACCCCAGTGAACTCCATTAGAAGAACCAAAAATTAACTCTCAGATAAACTTTAAAGGTCTCTAGAGGTTTACAGAGTGATTTAAAAGGTAGAATGAACATCATGTGTATGGTACAGTTCACATAAATAGTATCCCAGTATATTTCACAAAAGGTTTGTAATTGTCACTGGGATGGCTAAGGGGGATATAACAGGGGATATATGAGAAGGCTGGCTTAGTTCTGAAGAGTGCTGACAGAGAACTGAAAGCTCCATCCTAATGTAGTCATGTCCAAATTGATTTATGAACAAATAAAAATATGTAGAGAAACAGTAGCATTTTTAGGAAAGGATTTGAAATCATGTGGAAAATATATAGACAAAATAGTCTGTTGATAGTACAATGCTGCCCACAGTGGCAGCTGGACAGGACTGGAGAGGACTCTTTAGATGGAAGTGATGAAGGTCTTTTCTAACAGAACTGCTTTAGTGCAGGCAGTGGTTGGTAGTGGCAGTGCAGAGCAGATGAGTGCTATTAAATGGAGCCTTGCTGTTACCTGAACTGTAGTTGTTGGCTGCAGTTATGGCATAAAGCCTTCCACAGCCTCTCTAGTTACATTTTAAAAAAAAAAAAAAAAGCTGAGGTGATATATAAAAATCTTCAGCTAAAAAATTTGGAACACAGGCTAGATTCAAGAGAGACATATTTTGTAAAAAAAAAAAAAAAACTCTTACCATGTTTCTGCTAATAACTTAGAGGTTATTCTAAGGTAAATGGAAGAGTGAACAGATTGTCAGTGGTGCTGGGGGAAATGTAAGCTAAATATCATCTCGGTGCCCTGTTAATGGGGCGACTCACCACTAGTGAGGTAACTTCTGAAAACATTCCTATTTCAGTTCTGAACTCGCATCCCCACACAGAGGTCTCCAGGGTCCATGCTGTTTACAGCGATTCTTCTGCCAAGCCCATGAAAGCTCAGCTTTCATTCAGTTGAACTGATGCTCGGGCACAGTAATTTTACACAACCAACTAAAGAACTTTTCCTAACCAAGTATAAAATACCTTTCTGAATACTCCCACTTGACACTTCAAAATTTAAAAAAACCACCACCATTCTTACGATGTATTACCCTTTTGAAAATTGTTTTGGATAATGTGAAATTTCAGAGAAACACATTTCTTGCAAAAGGGGGAATGTTCTTTTGGAAAATGTAACTGTATCTTTTAAGAATAAATTAATTTCTGAGCTAAAATCAGACAGATTTGGTTCCAAATTTTATGACTTGGTTTTGCTTAACCATTTAACGTTTGACTTTAATCAGAAGTACTTACTTGAGTCTCAGAGTTCTTAGGGGAGGGCAGGATAGCTCTTACCTGGTATTGGTTGAAGGAGAAAATATTATGAATGTTAGTTTAACGTGAGGCTTCTTGTCTAGGGAGACCTAGAATGTTTGGATCATTCCTCATCATTCATGGAAGATAAAGAGGAGCACAAGAATAGCTGCCCTGTGTAAGGGCATAGGTTTTATGGATTCCTTTCTTCTTAACCAAGCTGACTTGTATTTCAGTGCTTTAGGAAAGTCCTCAGTACCCTTAGGAAGGCCCTTTTTTCATGGGTGTATCAGATTTGATTGCGTATACAAGAAAGAATTTCTTATCTATTTCCTTACAATCTTGGGGTAGCCATGCTGTATGAAAGACAGAGTTAATGCACTTGTATAGGCAGGCAATAAAGAAGAGAGATTGGAAGAAGAATCTTGACCACTTTTAGAAGCAGGAGATTGAGAGCTGAGAACCGATTTCCCTTTGCTACTGCTGGCAATATTTAGGCTCTTCCCACAGCAGAGCACAGGCCTCTGAGCTGAGGGCCCTGCAGGCATAATTCCCAGTGCAGTACAGCTGAGTGTAGAGATTGAGAGACTTAACTCACCATGGGCTGTGCAGACTGAGGGTTACAGGAAGAGCAGGGAACACCTTGAGAATTCCTGTGTGCAGTAACAGGCCCAGATAATGCCTCTTTCAGTACAAAAGGGCAAAGGAGACAAAAACTCTAGTATATGCTTAGATGCAATAGAAATTACATGGGAAAGGAATACTTGCCTGTACTCTTGGGGGTCATCCAGAGCCTTGGGCTTGTTGGTGAGCACTCTACAGCAGAGCATTCTTGGCTTTTCTTTCCTTTTTTTTTTTTTTTGACTACATAGCTCATCAGATCTCACAAGAACTACAGCCTAAGGAGGGTGGTTAAGCAGCAGAACACCTGAGCCTCTTGCAGCTTCTTATCCTCATAGAACAGGATAATTTGCAACAGCTCAACAAATCTCAGCCTTAAAATTTGTAGCAGCTGTAACCCAGATGAATCCTTACAAGACTTTCTGTTGTTGTGGAAGTGAGAGCCTATCATAGAAGTATTTGCTTGCTGAAGCATGGGATTAGTACATAATTTCCCTGAAGGGATTCCTCAAGCGAAGGGAGTCAGTCATCAGCATGCAGGAACAGGATCTACACATAAAACAAAGTGGTCACAAGAAACTGAACTGCTGACTTGTTAACCCACAGGAGGCAAATGTTTTACTGTTCTCAGCTGAAAAATAAGGCTAAGTCGTGGTGCTTCCAGCAGCAACTCAGGACGACTTCAGAATCAAACAGCTGAGAAGTGTTACGCAGTTCTGTTAGAAATGAATGGAGATGTGCATATGATATAGTAGGGATTTTAAGTAATTTTTGGCCTTGTGTAAAAAGACATTGACATTTTCAATAATTTTATATAACTGGTGTGTATCATAAAAGCATATGAGTATCCAGAAGTAAGCAGACTGGACAGGGAAGTAGAGACACATCTTAGGAATTGTGCTCCAGCCAATGGTTATTGAAATACCTGGGTTTAAATTTAAACATTTTAAATATTTTTCCAGTGTGTCTTAGATTAAAACCACAGATCAGTATTGGTGGTAATTATTTTATTTTAGACTATCTATCTAGGCAATTTTTTGAACCAAAACACTACTAAGAAGCCCTGTCTTGCTTGTGTTTAAATTACATTTGAATATTCTGCTTCTGATGTAGAGCACTCACAGGAAGGCCTGTATTTCATTTAATACTCCTTTTGAAGATGCAAACTAATATTGTATAATAATATCTAACAACAGTAATCAGCACTAGCATTATCCAACAGCAGTCAAACCCTGCCATTCTATGGCCTTTCTCGGGTATTAAAGCACTGCAGAAAAGTGTAACTGTAGCACTAGGAAAAGAGTTTTATCTTGCTGTGGTGGTTTGTCCCCAGACGGCAGCGAGGACCGTGCAGCCGCCTGCTCACTCCCCCCACGGGGAGATGGGGGAGAGAATCAGAAGAGGGAAAGTGAGAAAACTCATGGGTAGAGCAAAAGCCGCGCACGCAAGCAAACAAAACAAGAAGCTCCTTCACTGCTTTCCATCAGCAGGCAGGGGGTCAGCCGTCTCCAGGAAAGACTGAAAAGGTACTTTGTAAACTTGTAATGTTAACAAATAATGTCGTTTTAATAGATTTTGTAATTTAAGGCAGTAACAGCCTCAGCAATTTAAAAGCAACCAATTGTACTACATCAATATTCTATTACCTTAATTTATATGTCGTCCAATTTATATAAGTTATTATTTTATGTAAGTTTATATAAGCACTGAAACCACCTCCAGGTGTTGAGCTCTACAAGATAAACTCAGGTTTGGCAACCTTGCAGGTATGCCAGGGCAGGTAAATTTGGGTTGGTTTTGTTCCCACAAACTACGGGTGAAGCTGTTTTGAGATCTCGGTATGTGATGTGCTCCATAATGTATGAAGAAATGTAGCTCTGACTGGGAACTCTGGGAATTCCGGGGAGGCAACATGCAGTTGGCTGGCAGTACCTGAAAGGGAGCTGGAAAATGTTGCTTTTCATCAATTTCTCACCCTCGATAATGATGTTATTGTGTTTCCTCCCAAATCTTTAAAGTGCCATTCAAAATCCACACGCTTTCTCAGACAGCTGTGCTATAGGTTACAGACTCTAATATCAAACTGGAACGCATAGCTCTGTTGAAAGATTTGAGAGTAGGGTTTAGAGAAGGGCTGGGGGAAGCTGGGAGATGTTGCTATCAAAGCCCAGTAATGATTATCCTCTAACAGAGTAGCAAATGACATGGGAGGGGACAGGCCTTCCCGTTGGATTACTGCACTCAGCTCCCAGGAACCAGATGTGCTGTACCACATGATGTAGTTTATTACTAGGGAATTACCGAAGCCTGAGAACAGCAGCATTTTCCTGTCCTCTAGCAGATTCCAGTTAGCTGGGAGGTTATTTTAACAGCAGCTTTTGCTACTGTGCTTACTAGAGAATGAAAAGAAGTGAATACAAACTTTTCCTCCTTTTCTTCAGATCTAAAGAACCGGAATTCTGTCTAGTATTGTTCTACAGCAAATGTCACACAGTAAAGTGGACTAGCACTGAGGTCTGGTTTGTCTTAAGAAAAAATAACATACCCTCTGATTTGAAGCAAATAAAACCTGGACTGTTTCCACTGGATGAGAATTAAAAGCCACAGTAAATGATTCCCGTAACCTTGCTCTGCCAGACAGGGCTGGTAGAAAGAGAGACACTGCGTAGATGTGTTCACAAACGCTTGGTCCTTTTTGGTCAGAAGTAGCAGTGGTTCCGAATTTTCTCTGGCTGCTTCTCCCACCACATGGCTCTGTCTGGGATAGGGCAGTCCTGCAGGAAGCAAGGACAGACTGACGGAGGGACCAGAGAGCTGGAGGATTGATGCCCGTCCCTTTCCAGTGCAGACACCTCGGGTGACCCTACTGTAGGCCCTACAGGGCTGAGTTAATTCATAAATGTATTTCTACATGTAACAGCGGTTATTAGTGACAACAACAAAATTTCTGCAGGGAAAACGGCTCATAAAATGAAAATACGTTTATCAGCAATTACTTCTTACTCCACCCTGAAAAAGATGTTTTACTGATAATAGGGTAAATTATATAAACAACAGAATCTGAAGACTAATATTTTTATTAGAGTTAACTCCTTGCTATTGTCAGAACACCTTTGATGAGGTTCTAGGACGAGACTATTTCTAGCTTTAGAATCAGTAATTTTTTAATTCCTTTAATTTTCAAGCCACAAATAGTTTTAAATGGAGATATATGTAGCATGGTATGTTTTATTATAAAGCAGGGCATTAACTTCACTGGAAGCTGTACGGTGCAGGCTCTCCTGGCTTAAATTTTCAGTCTTTACTTACTTCAGCATGACTTTGGTTTGGTTTGTATTGGGAAAACAACTTGCTTTTATTTCTCAAAGCATTTTACAAGAAGGAATGCATGAAAAATGCAGGAAAGAAAAATTAGACGACTAAGTGCAAAATAGAAGTATAAAATTTATTTAAAACCACCCACAAAGTTCTGTGTAATCAGGAATGATACAATTTGTAATAGTCTTTTTAAAAACTCATGACAAGATTTAAAATATATTTTCAATTACAGTATTCATTTAGCCTTATTCAGTTAGGACAATTAAAAAAAAAAAGAAAGTTTACGTTCTAAACAGATGAGACACACAAGAAAAAATAGAACAGAACAGACAATTTCCACAACAACAATTTTTACATGTATGTTTCAATACTAGTATCAACATTTCAATGCATCTTGCTACATAAACATGAAATCATGTACAACAACTGCTTGCACCAAAAAACATAGCTTAATTAGATCTTTCAAGTAACATGCAGTCACAACTCACAAGTCTTCAAGTACTGCTGGTAAGGGTTCCCTTGTCTGCAAAGAAGATTTTAAGGTTCAGTTTCTCAGCTAGTGTAACTCCTCACAGCTCCACCAGCTCGGGAAGCTGTGCTCAGTTATACTAGGAAAGAATCAGGCCCCAAATGTTTTTTTGAGAAAAGAGTTTTTGAAAAATTTTTGAGAAATTTTTATATTTTCTCCTGTAAATACTGTGACATAATGAAGTGCTTTTTCTTTCTGATTTTCTTCTCCCTGTACATCATCTTTTGTTTAAGGAAGTTAATTTTATGTTCCAGATCCAAATACAGTAGGTTGGTAACTGGAAATAATCCAAAACCTCAAATTCAAAGTTGAAAAATAAATATGAAATGCATCACAAAGAAAGACAAAGAAAGAGAGAAAAGAAGAGAGAGGGAAGGAAAGAAAGAAAATGCTTTTTTTTTTTTTTTTTTGCTTTGGCATACTGTTAATCTTTTAATTTTGCAAAGCAGGAAATAATTCATTTTAGTACAGTGTGTCTTTACATATTAATGGTCTTTCTTATGGCAGCAAATTTATGACCTGGTATGATATTGTCACATTATGAAGAGCTGTCTCTTCCAAACTCAACAAATAATCGTAGAATAATTAATTGTTAAAGACTGAAATGTCTGAATCTTTTTATTGGTTAGAACCAGCTTTCTTTTACTAGTATTGGGATATCACATTTGTTTTTCTTGCCTACAGTTAATTTTTTCATTTTGAAGACAAGAGATTCATGAAGTTCAGACGCTGCCTTTGGAGCTGCATGGATTAGACTGGCATTCACAAAGTTAGTAAAAAATCTGTTCCTCATTAGGCTCTGCAGTATCACTGCAGTTCAGGAATTTAAAAATGAGAAGATATTTCCTTTTCCTCAAACTTTTTGGAAAGAGGAGTTTGCATTGCGTTGCATTTCATAACTGCGACATAGCGGGGCTTGACGCTTCCGTCAGCCTTCCCCCGGCAGCAAGGGAAGCTCTGCGTGACTCCAGCACTCAGGGCTCTCACCGCCCAGTAGCACCACAGTTAGGGCAGTCAGAAAGCGGTGGCTTTTAGCTTTGCATCTCAAAACTCACCCCTGTGTGACATCATCACACAACACTGCACGCCCTGTTGGTCTCAATGTCAGAAAAGAATGGAGTTCAGTAGATTGTCACAACCCCATTTTATATAATCAAGTAAAAGGGATCAAGTTATGATAAAAAGAAGCAAGTATTTTGAGAAAAATTACCAAAGCTTATGAATAGCATTATTGGCAATACTGAGAGATTGCTGGGCAGGCCATTACCCAGAGGTACAAATCTTTTACCACATTCTCTTTGTAGACAATGCTGGGAAAAGGAGAACAAATATAAGTGAATACTTCAAACCTGATAAAAAGCGAGCCAGTTTATTTTCAACCTGTATTTCTAAACTAAGAACAATCTGGATGTTACTGGCCAGTATGTGCACAATAGGGCTATCGTTAAATTGATTTCAGATGATTGTACAAATCAGTCATTTGGTAACGGTTTTGATTTATACTACTGACCTTTTATGCCTGAAGGATGTTAAGCTAAATCGACATCCATTTAAGGCCCCTTTCTCCTTTTAACGTGATGCAAAGGACAGTAGTATAAATGAGAATCAGGGCCTTCATTCTTATTTTAAGACGATTCCCAAACCCTAGACCCTTTTCCATTACAATATTATAATAAAAATACAGATATACATGTAAAATATTGATCAGGTCACAAAACTTTCCACAACAGCATTAAAATGTTCTGTGGCAACAACTGCAATACTGAACATCAAACTAGCATTTCCCTTGCTCCACTGCAACAGCACTTCTTTGGAATATAGTTCATCTGCTCTAAACGGGCAACTCTCTGTAGATTAACTGCCAAATCTGTCCTCCTTCTCACACATGGAGGTTTTTTTTGAGGTCTACACCTGCGTCCTCTGACTCTATGAGGAAAGGTGGAAGGGTTCACAAAGTGTTGGAAACAGCACTGTTCATGAGTCACACCAAACAGAGCAGGTCACCTCCATGTTACGTTATTTAGCACCCTCATCTTGCGTTCACTGCAAGTATGCTGTTGGAAGATTCTAGCATGTTAACATAAGTACGTGTGGAAAAGTTACATATATAATGGTCCAGTAGAAGAGAAAGAGAGACTGTTGTGGAGAGAAGTGAGGATACAGCATCGAGAAGCATCTTGTATCTTTTAAAACTGAAGTTAGGAGTATGTGGGTTAAACACTGCACAACAATGCTGGGATGATGAGCTGGGAAATTGGACTGAAAAAAGAATCCTCAAGTCTTTATGTCTTGGAAGGAGGAAAACAGTGATGCTGACACCCCCCGTACCCTTCAATAAAAGGCAGTAACTGCTTAATTATTTTCTGCCCAAGCTCAATCAGTTCCACTTGCTGCTAGAAGAACAACAAAAGAAAAACCCATTGTCCCACTCTTTCTTCCAAGCAGTCCTGTCTTAGTTAAGGCCTTTAACTTTCACAATACTTGGGTTCTCACACAGACTATGGCTGGTCTCTGCACAGGGACACAACCAGAAGAAACACTCCTGCTCTTGTAATTGTGCAGGGTCTGCAGCATCTGTCTTAGGTCAAGATTTGAGCAGAGCTGGTAGAGTAACTC